ACTTGCCATTAATTTAATATGAAATTAATTATGAATAGATGAAGATGGGAGTTTGTCGTTCTGTGATACAGCCGCCATAGATGAATTTTGACCACAAGCACCCATAGAAATGAGTTATTAAAGCAACCTTAGTCACTAATAAGCACGGTTCTTGGCTGGGATGGAGCCAATGTAGGACCGGTTGCCGGGGGGGGCCGGCGGGTGGGGGAGGAGCAGCCACCCCCTAAGTTTTTGAAAATTTTCAAATATGGTACATTAATTTTTATTTTTTACAAACTTTTGTTTTTCAAGTTTTTGATTTATTGGGACTATTTGAAATATAAAGAAAATATTTATGACTTAAAGTAAAGGAAACATTTCTCTCTTTGTGATTAATTTTTAAGATATGCTAATTTGGTTTAGGTAAGCAAAAATATTAAAAAATAGTCAAAATCTAGTTAGCTACATTGATGTTATTTATTTAAGTTTTTACATTAATTACATATAATTTTTTTGTACAATTTATATTCTATGAAAATAATGGTTGAATTTATTTTATTTATACAAATCATATATTTCAAATTTAAAGTTGTTTAGATATAGGTAGTCATTAAAAAAATAAACTATATCTTTATACTATTTAATTAAAGGTTTTAATGTATCATTCAAAAATAACTAAATATATCTAATCTTCTAGATAAAACTAAATATATCTAATTAATTTAAAGTTTTGCATACATAACTTATGTGGTACATATACAAAATTAGTGATCAATACAAAAACTAATATAAATTATACTAATATGAACTAATAAATAACTCACAAAAAATTTTACATAACTTGAATTTCTAGCTCTGTCGCTGGTTTTTATATTAATTAAATTGGTATTGCAGAAGTTTTTCAGCTCGTGTTGTAAACAAATCTAAAAGAGAAGACAAAAAGACTTTACATGCTTTTTCTATTCTTCTGTTTAAAAATTTTCTTTATTGAGTCATTGACAGTTGACAAGATTGAATATATGCCTTTCTTCCACTAAAATCACCATGAAACTAGAACATCTTGTTCCAAAAAAGAAATGACATAACTTGTTAATGATGATAATTCATAAACAACTGTTTATACAGGTCTTCAGCTTCTATCTATCTTGGATGTAACTCAGTAATTGAAACATCGTTTACTGAAGCCAAGGCAAGTCCATTGTTGGATTGTTGGGATTCATGCAAGGGTGACATTTCTGACTGAACAGTTGTGCTTTGCAATAAATAGGCAGGGTGTGAGGGTGCTGGTAGAACTATAGAATTGCTGGTAAGCATTACAATAATTGATCCCATAGTTGGTCTTTGTAGTGGATTTTCTTGCACACAAAGTAATCCGACATGGATGCATTTCATCATTTGAGCTGTTGAACCCACTCTCAAATTGGGATCTACAATATTTAGTGCAGTCCCTTCCCTCCAATTTCTCCATGCCTGCAGCAAAAGGAAAAATTAGAACACATTTTACCCTACAGAAAACTAATCTTTAAAAATGTTGAATTCTATGTATGCTAATTGTGTATACTTACGAGGCTTATTAGGTTTGTAGCATTCTTCTCACCGTGAGGAGAGTTATTCTTTTGACCACTCACAATCTCCAAAATCATCACCCCAAAACTGAAAACATCTATCTTGAGTGAGAAGTGTCCATGTTTAATATATTCTGGAGCCATATATCCACTGCAATTTGACATTTTTAAGAAATATGAATAAAAGTTTACAAAGGGTATGAACTAGTGAAATGTCCATGGAAAGATTGTGATACTTACTATGTTCCTACAACCCTATTTGTAGTAACATGAGTATCATCAACTACAAACAATCTTGCCATACCAAAATCTGAAATTTTTGGATCCATCTCTTCATCTAGTAAAACATTGTTGGGTTTAAGATCACAATGAATAACTCGTAGTTGAGAGTCTTCATGAAGATAGAGAAGTCCTCTAGCAATACCTCCTATAATTTTGTACCACCTTCCCCAATCCACTTTTGCACTCTTTATTGGATCTATATATGTTCATAATTCATGCTAGTATGTTATTAAGTAAGACAAAGTAAGATATCAATTTGTTTTTAGAAAAATGATGCCTTTGTAGATGACCAAAACATCTAATGAGAGTAACTCTGAAAGTATGAAACATAAATGTAATTATTCATGAAGGAAAAACTGAAATTTGCCTTCAGATAAAAAGGGAAAAGTCACCTACCAAATATGAAATTATCAAGGCTTGCATTTGGCACAAGTTCATAGATGAGAAGTCTTTCTTTTCCTTCCAAGCAGAAACCAAGAAGCCTGACCAAATTACGGTGCTGAAGTTTGGCCACTAAGAGGACCTCATTCTTAAACTCGGATTCCCCTTGTTTGGAACCCCTAGACAGTCTTTTAATTGCTACATCTTGTCCGTTTGGAAGCTGCCCCTGTAAATAGCATCACATTTCAGTTCAATACATGTAGATATATGGATGATTAACGTTCCTTTTGATTCTTAAAAGTCATTGCCTTGAAAACAGCACCTAATCCACCTTGTCCAAGCTTATTTTCATCGCTTAAGTTATTTGTAGCTGCCCGGACATTGGCAAAGTCATATTGCAAGGACTCAAGCTCAATAATTTCATCAACAGCTGCAACAAACAACATAGTCAACTGATAAAATCAGATCCATTATCAAGACGCGCGAATTTCAGACAAATTATTGTAACTTAAATCTCAACTCTTGAGTCCCTAATTAATTAGATTATTGATGATATCATAATGCTTTGCCAAGATCATGGGCAAGATGAGATTACATTAATAAGCTCTAAGAGCAGAAAGCCTTCTCCTAAGTATATCTTTCATAACAAGTGAGGTGAAGTGGAAGAATGTAACTTACTCTTATCCTTTCCCCTCGGCTTTTTGAGTCTTAGATAAATAAAAATACAGAGGGCAAGCAACAAAACACTGAGAATTGAAGCAACAATGACAACGACGATTGTTGTTGGAATTCTGCTGCTTCCTTTTCCCAAAAAAAGAAAAAAGTTTGTAGCTAATCGCTGGTTGAATTTAATAATAAAGTAAAAACAAAATTCAGAGCACTCATGAAGATGGAATGTTGATCTATTTAAATTGTAAATTCACCCCTATAACCAATCAATAATTACCTTCATCTTAATAACAAGGCCAATTCTTCATTGGCACTCCAATACACTTAAAATAAGCAATTTATTCCTTTTTCCTTTTTTTTTTTTTACAGTTTTTTGTGCATTAGTAGTTTAAAATGGCAAATTAAGGAACTATTAGGGGCTGAAAAATTAGAAGAAAAAAAAAAGTAGGTTAAATAACTGGAAATAACTTTATGGACTCAATTGCTAAAAGTGAACAATTTTAGAGTCTAACCTTATTTTTTCCAATTTTAAAAGGAAGATAGAAACAACTACTTTACCTTCTGCCGGAGGTGAAGACGGTGATGGCTCAGAAATATCATCTACTGCGGCCAAAAAAGGGCCAATCTCGTACCTCAAGAAACAGCTGGGTAGCAGAATTTTACATCCGATGTCCCCATAGCAGTATCTGATAATCTTCGCCATGGCCGTCGCTAGACACTCACCGCATTCTTGCTGGGACAGATCGGGAGTGCACTGCACAAATGCGAAGATTCTGTCAAAGTAATTTGGAGCCGACGCGTTACCCGCTGCAAACTTGCGAAGAGAGCCCCCGGCGGCCGCTTGGCTGCTCAAATTTTTCAGCAAGGAACTCAATGCCAGATTGAATCGATCTACATTGGGTGATTTTCTGCCAGTTGTTTCAAATGAGACAGGAGTGGTTTCCTTGGTTCCAAAAATATCTCGACCTGAGTAGTGTAACATACATCGTGAATCCGACCATCCGACCGCCTCTTTGTTGTTAGGACAGCTTTGCTCGAGTTCGAGGAGGCTGTTGTTCAGGCAAGTTTTGCAAGCATCTTGCTTTATGTCGCCTCTACAGAGTCCAATTGCGTTGACCTGATCAGGATTCTTTCCCACGGTGATATTGTAGAACCCATAATTAAAATCCTTGGTAGAGGAGATTTGAGTGGAGAGGCGCTGGAGGTTGATCTCGTAAGCACTGCCGTGGGTATAGTTGTCATTGGTGACACATTAATACTTGAAGTTGGGAATGGCAGCAAAGCAGAGATTAACTGAAGAGAACAAGATGAAAAGCAATTTTGAGCATCCCATTTGCCTTTCTACTAACCCACCCTTCAAAGCAATTAAATGGGCTAATCATGAAAAAATTAACCTAATTTGTTGCCTGAAAAATGAACAAGGGGTTTGTCTAAATTTGTGGGAATGGCTGATATCGAGCCGCCATGGACCCCCTCCATACCCCATCAAGTTCAC